TTCTTTAGATTTTCCTTCTAATTGATGGTTTGCTTTGTTAAATCAATAAAAAGCTAAATTAAAAAATGGACTTCAATGTGATTTAATCTAATACAAAATTGTCAAAAACAAAATGAAAGTTGTTGATTGTCGTAAGAGTTCGCTTTTTCTACAGATACTGCAGATAAGTTATCTACAGTAAGTTCAATATGACGTCGTTTTAGGACGGATGATGTTTTTATAATTTAAATTTATTTCAGGAGTATAATAGTCTTTATATTTATAATTTTTTAAGACTTCAATACTAAAACAACGTCGTTTTGAAAATAAATACAGATAACTTATCTGCATTAACTGCAGAAACATTTTTCCCGTTTTGGATAATAATTTTGCTAAGATGATATCAAAGATTTGTCACATGAAATATTTTATTATTTTTCGCACGCATTGCACTAATATTTTGAGTACCGCGCAATTTTATCCAGATCTACACGTGTCCAGTTATCATTATCTATTTCTTTCTCCTCAGGCTAGAGCATAAACTGATGTCATGATTTTTATGGGCTATGCCCAAAAAGATGTGTTGTGATATTTTTATGCTACTTTTCGTCTATTTATTGATGAGCTTTATTAATTTCTATCAATAGGAGAGAAGATATTTTCTACCACTCTCTCAATTATGTGATGAGACCCACATAATTATAAATAAAAAAAACAAAGCTCAAAAATTGATGTCTCTATTAAAAAATAAACTCATCTCATGTGGCTGAATACTAATTTTTCTCTTTATTAATACGACAATATACAATTAAGTGGTAATACAAAAGTGTGCATTGATCGTAGATTAAAATTGAATTCTTCATGCTGTTGTGCTTCATTGGTTTTAGCACACAAGCATGCGTGTTCGAGTTTCTAGTTTAAGATTATAGAAAACTAAGAGGATTTGAATATGTTGTTATATTTAATGAAATGGCTGATAGCCAATATATACACAAGTCGGTTATACAGAATCAAGGAGGATCAACTAGAATAAAGTATACTGTTCAACAAACTATACATGGAATAATAACAAACTATTCTTGCTAAAAACTAGGACTTAGTTGCTAAAGGATAAGATCAAAGGTGATCTTCTCCTAACACGCCCCCTCAAGTTGGAGCATGAAGTGACGAAATGCCCAACTTGCTGCGAAGAAAACTGAATTGCTTCATGCCAAGCGGTTTGGTAAATATGTCTGCGAGTTGCTGATCTGTACGAACGTAGGTAGTAGTGATTGTATTGCTGAGAACATGATCGCGTACAAAATGACAATCAATCTCTATATGTTTGGTACGTTCGTGGAAAACTGGATTAGCAGCTATTTGCATGGCAGATTGGTTATCACAGTGCAACTGCATAGGGTGTGAATGTGGAACATCAAGCGAGTCCAGAAACGATTTGATCCATAACAACTCAGCTGTAGCTGCTGCCATTGAACGATACTCAGCTTCAGCGGAGGAGCGAGACACTGTGGGTTGCTTCTTTGTTTTCCAAGAGATAGGAGAAGTACCCAACATGATAAAATAACCAGTAACTGATCGACGGGTGAGTGGACAGCTAGCCCAATCCGAATCAGAATATCCACGAAGAAGGAGATCATTGTCGGATCGAAGGAGTAAACCTTGGCCAGGATCAGTTTTGATGTACCTTAAAACGCGGATGACAACATCATATTGAGCAATAGTAGGATTTTGCATGAACTGGGAAAGAACATGGACGGAGTAACTTAACTCAGGTCTAGTAATTGTCAAGTAAACCAAACGTCCTATGAGTCTTCTGTAACGTGCGGGATCCGAGAATGGAGGACTTTCTGTAACTGCAAGCTTATGATTTGTTTCGAGAGGGAAGGCACATGGTTTGCACGCAAGGAGACCAGCGTCTTCCAATATGTCGAGAGCGTACTTTCGTTGGCTCAGAAAAAGACCTGATGGACCGTGAGCTATTTCGATGCCAAGAAAATATTTAAGAATCCCCAAATCCTTGATGTGAAAGCATGACTGGAGAAAGACCTTGACATCGGTGCATAAGGCATCATTGTCGCCCGTTAGAATAATGTCATCAACGTAGATGAGAAGAGCAACAAAGTGGCCATCTTTGTGTAAGGTGAATAGGGTGTAATCTGCCTTGGATTGGATGAAGCCATATGATTCAATGGAAGACCGCAACTTAGCAAACCAATTGCGAGGGGACTGCCGCAAACCGTAGAGAGATTTACGTAAGCGACATACTTGATGTGGTTTGTGATGATTGAAACCTTGTGGAACGCGCATGTAAACTTCTTCGGTAAGGTCTCCGTGTAGAAAGGCATTCGTAACATCCAACTGGTATAGGTGCCATGATTTGGCAGCAGCTACCGCAAGAAGTGTTCGGACACTCACCATTTTGGCTACAGGAGCATATGTATCGAAGTATTCTTCTCCAGCTATTTGATTGTTACCGGCAATGACCAACCGTGCTTTGAATCTCTCCACTGTACCATTTGAGTTGTACTTAATGCGGTATACCCACTTGCATGGAATGGCACGTTTTCCTGGTGGCAAAGAAGTGAGTTCCCATGTGTGATTTTGTTCAAGGGCATCTATTTCTTTTCGCATTGCTACACGCCACCTTTCATCAGTTACAGCATCCTTGAATGTTTTTGGTTCAACACCAGAAGAAATGGCAGCAAGGAATTGTTGATGTTTGGGAGAGAATCTAGAACAAGAAACAAAGTTAGCAATAGGATAAGCCATACCTGAGGAAGGACTGGAAGAAGTAGAAGAAGCTAGTGGATTATGTGCGATGACTTTGGAGCATTCGAAATCTTGGAGATATGATGGAGGACGGCGAGAACGGTGACCACGTCCCAAAGGTGCAGATGGATGTGTGACTTCTGGGGGCTGTTCTTGTCGGATAGAAAGCTCATTGGAGACAGTAGGGGCAGATTCGGGCTGAGCCTGTTCAACAGGGAGAGTGTCTTCAATTAAAGGGACAGGGTTGGTAACAACTTGGGAATCAAAGGATGGGCTTTGTGGAGCAAGGGTTGGTTCGGGTGATATGGGGTTATGGGGGTTTGGGTCGTGAGGAATATCAGTGGTAGGAATGACTGTGGTTGGTGCAAAAGGAAAGGTGTTCTCTTCAAATACCACGTCTTTGGATACAAAAACAGTATGTGTTTCAAGGTTATAAAGCCTCCAACCCTTTTTGCCAAAAGGATATCCCAGGAACAGACACCGAGTTGATCGAGCTGCAAACTTGTCCAACGGTTTGGGACGTGGATGAGCATGGCAAAGACATCCGAATATGCGAATATGATCATAGCTGGGTGTGCGGTTGAAAAGACATTCATATGGTGTTTTTCCTTGGAGAAGAGGAGTGGGGGTTCTATTGATTAAATGTACCGCAGTTAGAACACATTCACCCCAAAACTCGATAGGAAGACTAGCTTGAAAGCGTAATGCTCTTGCAACATTCAAAATATGTCTATGTTTCCGTTCAACACGACCATTCTGCTGTGGTGTGTCTACACATGATGTTTGATGTATAATTCCCATATCGGAATAAACCTTGCAGAGATTATGAGCACAAAATTCTGATCCATTGTCGGAGCGTATTATTTTGACCATGGTATTAAACTGATTACGTACCATGAGAAGAAATCGAGTTAAGTATTGGAACGTTTCAGACTTGGTGGTCATTAAATAAACCCAGACGTTTCTGCTATAATCATCCACAATTGTTAAAAAATATCTTGCACCGGTTAGAGAGGTAGTTTGATATGGACCCCAGATATCGCAGTGAATAAGATCAAAGCATGCAGTAGTTTTATTAATGCTAATAGGGAATACAGTACGAGTTTGTTGTGCGCGTAGGCAAATGTCACAAACTGAAGGAGAATGACCCCTATTTTTATTCACTGTAACAAAAGGAAGAAAGCTTAAAAACTGAAATGAAGGGTGACCCAATCGACGGTGCCAAACATCTGCATTCTGTTGAGTGTGAGCCGCACATGCAGTAGAGATGGATTTGTTGTTGGATGAGTCATGCACATAAACACCAGCTTGCAATCTACCCAGTCCAGTCTTGATCCTCGTTATGGGGTCCTGCAATTCACAGCCATTGTGAGTAAAAGAAATGATGCAATTTGTATCAGCAAGTAATTGAGCAACTGATATGAGGTTGCATTGTAATTTGGGAACATATAACACATTCTGAAGAGAAATATGAGATGTCAACTTGAGACTGCCACTGTGATTGGAAACAAGATGATCACCATCAGGTAAACCTATTGTAGTGGGTGGAATAGATGTAACATTGGAGATTAAATGGAGGTTCCCTGTCATGTGTTGAGAAGCGCCACTATCCACCAACCAGGTAGAAGGCAGAGTGTGCTTACCAGAAAGGGATGTAGTGTTAGCAGACGGTGTAGTGGAGGAAACAACCATGTTGGCAATTTGCTGTAGAAGCTCAGGACTCAGGTTGGGAATCGAGTTTTGGTTGGACACTATAGGTGTTGCAGCTGTTGTTTGTGATGCAGAAAAATTGAATGGGTTGGGACGCTTGTCATTAGCATTGATATTGACAGCGGAAGAATCTGAATCAGAATCAGCCATTGGGAAAGTGGATCGATACCTTCAAACTGATACCATATAGAAAACTAAGAGGATTTGAATATGTTGTTATATTTAATGAAATGGCTGATAGCCAATATATACACAAGTCGGTTATACAGAATCAAGGAGGATCAACTAGAATAAAGTATACTGTTCAACAAACTATACATGGAATAATAACAAACTATTCTTGCTAAAAACTAGGACTTAGTTGCTAAAGGATAAGATCAAAGGTGATCTTCTCCTAACAAAGATTACTTTTATTTAAAAAATTAAATAAATCGCACGGGTGAGATAGACGAGGACTGTAGCCCTTTTGTTTTTTCAGATATGTTGACAAAAAATGAACATGTTTTTGATGGTTAGACCCCAAAGAAGAGAAAGAGTACCCTTTATAATTTGATGTAACATATAGAAGTAGTAGTACAAACTATAGAGCTCCATAGCAAGATTCCTATAGAATAATAGAGCATTTCAAAACAAAACTGATATTTGGAATCATAATATCCCCCAAACGGTTGATATTACCATTCATATTCTTGTGGTGAATATGTATTTTTTGTTTTTTTTCAAGTTACAAAATTCACCAATTACATTTGCCTTCATCACATGCATTATGAATATCCATAAGCTCTTTACTTGGGGCGACTTGCTGTCTCCATGGTCCCAGCTTGCCTAGCTAGCTGCACAGTTAAAATTAAAAAGTAACTTTACTTTAGTTTACCACACACTGCCAAAGAAAACAAAATTATACATACAAAAATCCCATTCTCTATAGTCACCACCACCTGAAAATAAGTTTCAAGTTTCTTTCTCAGTGCTGCATATTCTTTCTTCATTTGTTGGAAACTCTTTCTACATCTGCATATTCACACACAAAAGTACTATCACTATTTTAGGATATGTCTGCAATTTTATTTTTCCAAATTCTACATATGATGAAGTGCAGTTAATACAGGAAAAGCAAGGACACTTGAGGAAATGCTAGTATGGTTGTTAGTTGTTACTGAACCAAGATTGAGTGAAAGCTAGATTACCCTTCTGCATTTCCTGTCCTGCAATATTCCCTAAACAGAGTGCATTCTGCTTTCACCTTTTTGGCTCCAATGCTGCCACCCATAATGAAGGAATATTAATCAAATCATAAGGATTCACTGTTGTTGTCATAAAGCCAACACAATTTTCACATGATGATATATTAATTCACTCAACCCAACTTATTATTATTACTACTTTATGAAACTAATTCTATATTTACCTTGAGCTGCTTCCTTTAAACTGGTGCATGATTGTGTCTAGCTTGTTGAAATCCAATGGGTTCCTCTCACTGCCTCAAGCACAAGAATGACACCAACTTAGTTTCAAAACTTAAAAAATAATAGCAGAGAATGTAAAGAAAGTACTAAGTGTTATGAAATTAAATTACAGTGTCTGCTCCATGTTTGAGATAAGCCTAGATGAATCACGGTAGTAAAGAGTCACAATTTCCTCAACAAAGTTAGGATTAGCATCATCTTGCAATTCTTCCAGTTGGATAAACTGCTCATCCAGATGTCCCTGTAAAGGATAAGTATTTGAAAATCCCTTAATTGACTTGTAACTAAAGAAGGAGTAGAAAGGAATAGAACAATATGTAATCTGTGTAAAAGCCATTCATGTCTACTACTAGCACTAATGAAGCACCTAACACCGTTAACAATGTCATACCCTTTGTTAAGACATATGTGTATATTGTGTGATGTATGGTAATTTGGTGAAGTGTGTGTATTTGAATATGTACTTTGCATTAGCTATAACAAAGCCAATGAATGAGTTTGGTGCACAAAGTAAAAAAAAGCTGAATAATATAACATATGGTGTTTTCTCATGAGTGGAATGAAAGAAAGTGAAGTGAAGTTCAGACAAGAGTCATATAAAAATGTTAGGATAAGGGAAGAACCTGATCAAAGAGGGACTGTTTCATTGCAGCAACCTGCCTGCGGGAATGGTTTCTCTCCATTTTTAGAAAATGTCAATGTCAGAGAGAACAAACAAAGAATGGAAAGAGAGAGAGAGAGAATAAAGACAGTGAACACTATTGTAGTTGAAGGATGATGTGAGAATGCATGATTTGGAAGTGGGTATAGAAGGGTTTTTATAGCACCAAAAAGATGGTCCTGCGTGTGGGAAATAGTGACTAAGATAGATAGGGAGTGCTTCAATAACTTAAAAAGGGTCACTTCATAAATCATAAGGCACTGTGAGTTAGAGTATCATGGATGGTAAATTTGAATCCATCGTATTTAGCAAAAAAAAGCAAAAAAAAAAATACTCGAGTAATTATATGCTTAGAATATTCTTATATATTTTTTTATTTCATTGTCACTAATTTAGACAAAAAGTTTTAATAGTACTTACTGATAACTTGCTAATTTTTATCAAAAATTACCAACATAACTCAAATTCAATATACTGCAAATCCCAATAAGTCAGCCAACTTTCATTGGCTAATACTTTGCTCTAGTTGATGGTTACACTTACATGCATATTTTACATAAAGGGTTTTTAGCGTCACGTGCGAACTAAGATCCCATTTGTTTGTGCTTACACAAAAAGTAATTTTTATATTTTCTTTATTTTAGAAGTGTTTTTTTTTTTTTTTTACATAAGTTAAAACTATTTATATATTTTTTCAAAAATTTGGTTTTTTTAAAAAATATTTGATTTTTGCTTTTTTTAGAAGTTAAAATTTTTAGCTTTTAAAAAAAAAAATTGACTTTTTTTGTGACTTATGTTTTTTTTAAAAACAGACATCTAAACCAACTTAAAGTGAGAAGCGCTCTTTTTTTCTTGAAAAAAAGTAGCTTTTGAAAAAAAAAAAAAGCTCATCCTAACAGACCCAAAAGTCTTACATATATGCCATGTTTTCCCAAAAAAAATTATGTGAATGCCACACTAACAAATTCATTGTCAATGAGTTTCAACTGTCAAGTGGCAGAACAAGAGAGACTTGTTGCCCGAGCATATTAGTTAAAAAGTCAACTCATTTTCAGAAAGTTGTAATTTTTTTTTTTTGTAACTTTTTAAAATAATTAGATATATTTTTTTATTCTATATAACTTTTTAAAATCTACACACTTAAAAATTCTCGAAAGATTATTTTTAGAGTTGGAGAGTGAAAATAATAATAGAAATTAAATAACATCATTTACAAAGATAAAACATGCCAAACAAGGCATAAAAAAATATTTTTTGGAAAAAAAATTTGTTAGCACATAAATATCAAAAAGTTACGTAAAATAAAAAAAAAATTGATTCGAAGTCAAAAATTATAACCTTTTGAAATTTTACAATAAATTTTTTAAAATTTGGTACCACCTGATATGAAATGATAGGCCACCAAATTAGCAACGAGTTTAGACAGAATGAATTTGCCAAATCATTTTCCACCGAAGTAGTTAAAAATATAACCATATGCCATTAACTAATCTGCAAAAAAGATTTAATACTTTAATAGTAGTTGTACGGAACCCTAGGCCCCGTCATTTGAGCATCGCACTTTGTTATATACAGAACATTGAATTGACAATATATCTTGTTCATTTAATCCAAACACTTCAGTTTGCTATCTTTTTAGCTTTTTTTTATATATACATGTAAAAATTAAACACATAATTTAATATAATTTATTCAAAAAGTTTATCATTAAATCAATTCTAATAACTTTTTTTTTAGCATTTGATATTAAATAAAATAAGAGAAAATCAATTCTTCTAAGATAGGAGACAAATTATCTTATGTTATACAATCAATTTTTGAAATTGATCCCACCACTTCAAAAAAAAATGCTGGCATGATTTTCCAGGAGTATGCAGAGCACGAGAATCGATTCTCCCATAAAATAATGCATTAATATTTTGTAAACATTTGTTGAAAACTTATTTTTATTTAATTTTGAGATAGTATCAAATAATCTTTTCAAAAATAATTTCTTAATACTCAGAATATATATAAGAGATTTAATTATGTGATAAATAATATTTTGTATGTCATCATGTTTATTATGATGGACAAAACATGTAAAATTTTTTGGTATTTTTTTATTATTCACGAAAAAAACATGTTTGATATACTAATATAAATCCTTATATATAAACATAGGATTATTATACCTAATATACATATTATATAAATATCATATACTCAAAATCTTTACCCGCGTTAAAGCCAATATCTCCTTTGTACCCGGGACTTAATGTAATATCAAATTAACGTGGCTCACTAACGAAAGATTCAAATAATGCGGGAAAATGTTAAACATTATGGAAAACAAAACAAGGAGGTTAGATTAATCTTTCAATTATTAAATTAATAATTGGTTTGAATAAACTTTAAAAAATGCATTTATGATATAATTTCTTTAGAAAACATTTTTTCTTATTTACGAGAAAAGCACTTTAGTTTTTTTTTTAAGTTTTTAAAAAATTATCTAATTATCTTAGAATTTATGATATATCATGTCCCAATTCTATTATTAACTTAAAGGTACTTTTCTATTTTAAAAAACACAATGAAGCAGCCATAAGATATGAATATTTTGATCATTTACTCAGCCATCGATCCACTATCATGCACCACTGTGTCGCCCCACCCAAATGCAAATTGTCCAAAAACGAGATAAAGAAAGGTTCTGGAACGAAGATGAAGATGCATTTACATATTCCTTTCTGTGCTTTACAGACGTATAAAAGAAAAGAATAATAGTTAAGGGAGAAATTCTTTCTTTTATTTTATTTTAAATTTTTTTTTATAGGTGAGACATATACCAAATTAGCATATGCCCTGAGCTCTCACTTCAAGTTAGATATTGCCAGCAAAAGAAAAATTAATTTAAAGAAATTCCTAAAACAATATCATTGGGCATCGCATGAGACAAAGAATTTATCCTCAAAAGTGACCCCAAAAGCTTGCTTACGGACATAATGCATATAAATTACACCATCATATCATAACAAAATAACTTTTGTTGCCATAATTTCTTTCATGATACTACATGCATTATATGTTTTAAGCAGTACGGTTTAAAGCAGGACGAACTAGTAACAAAAATTGGAGAATGTCGTTTATTCGATGAAAAGACATTCGCTAATATTTAACTGAGATATTTATTTGATATATTTATACTTTTAGTCTATTCTAGAATGAATAACACTGTACAAACAACCGTAATTAAATACACAAATTTAAATTTTCTTTCTACGCTTTTAGATCTACTTATCGATATATTCAAGATTATATTCACCTGCAAATCCAACGATTCTCTATTTAAATATATAATAATGAGATTTGATTATTTGACACCGGCATTAAAATAAAATTTTTGAACCATTGATTTTCATCAATTTAATGATTATAATTTATTAAGTTATATCAATTAATTAATTATTAATTTTTAATAAAATATTAGTGTCAGATTGACAAAAATCAACTGTTGAGATAAAGTGTTAAACTCTGACAAAAACCAACTGTTCATATGAAGTGTTAAACTTTTTAGTTTGACACTAGTGTAATGATCCTGTCCCATCATAATGAACGAATTCCCATTGTGTTTTATTTTATTTTATTTTATAAAAAAGGAAAACACCTAGCGTTTTCTTCTTTGTTTTTTTTATACATCAAAGAATCATTATCATATTTATCATAACTTGATTTAAGATCTTTACCCAAATTCTCACATGGTTTGTGAAATCAAAGAATTAAAGATGTTGTGGCATAGTGTTAGAAGTTGATATGATACTGAGTTGTCCTGTGATCAAACGAATCGGGTGTATTTTAATATAGGGTGGCTTTTATGATAATAGTATAAATCAAGACTCTTGAGAAGCTTTTTTGACGATATGAGACGATAATCAATAAGGGGGTGTGATGTTTAACGGTCAAGGTGATTCTCTAATTGAACAGAGTAACAACTCATGGAGACATTGACCATGTTGTCTGTAACATCTCGTATATATCCGGTAATGTTATCATGTTATCGTATTAAGCTGCGCTTAATTAAAATTGCGGAATATCTTTTTCTTTTCAATTATGATATCATTAACCATTACCAACTTGATTACTTAACCATTTTCAAAACATCGCCTGTATGTATATTGCAATAAACAACTAACTGAAACACCTCATTAATTAAATAACATAAGTATGAGTCTCTAGTCACAGAACTACAAAACTTAGACCGGACCATCTAACAGTTTATACAACTCAAACTAAGAGTACTAACCACAAAGTGGCATGGACAAACCCCATGCTCACCCAAATAAGGCAACAAAACCCAACATCAGTCTCAACAACAACAACATAAGCATATAAGTGCAGAAAACATAAACAGCATCCAATTCCAGCATTCACACAGGTCGGCATAACTAACAACAATAATCATCAACTAAGCTCTGGCCTCCTGCCGACAGAGACATCAGTCTCCATACTACCTGAACCAGAAATAAGCATTCCCCAAACGTGGGGTGAGATCTCTAAACAAGAAATCTCAGTAAGGCAAGGGGTCCTCAAGGATCTTCCACCCCAAGCTCACTTACATGTGCAATATAAGTTCAAAAGCAGTTTATCATCATCAGTTCTAAAATAGTGCAATGCAGCAGATAATCATGTCATGTGTGTCAATTCTATTCTACTGGCCAAAGAAATGCAAGATTTATATACGTCTAATACCCACAAATAGTGCAAGATGCTACTTGCATTCACCCCGGATCATCGTCTTGTATGACGCCACATACTCAGGCATACCGTCAAGATGGAACAACACATGCATATTAAAAACCATTACACATAAAGCTCAACAGCATTTCAAGTATCCAAAGCATGTAACACAGAATGCATATAACCAGATCCCCATGGGACATGGTGGAACCACAACATGGCTAAATCGAGGACACGAAAACTTACCTTGTAAGCTAGCTATCCAAACCAAGAGTCCACACAGCTCAAGGCCCACAAACAGCACAATCACAATCTGCCCATACCATAATTACTCATCAATAATCATAGCTCAAATTACATTAAGTGATTAAGTCTTTCCTACTCATTTTAACTCATT